AGAGAGAGAGAGAGAGAGAGAGAGAGAGAGAGAGAGAGAGAGAGAGAGAGAGAGAGAGAGAGAGAGAGAGAGATGAGCGGTACAAGTTTGACTGTTACGTACCTGTGGAGCGCAGTCCCGTGAAGAAGAAGACGGGGGCCATAGCTGCGGAGCTTGACCATGGAGTGACGAAGAAGGGAGAGAGAGTGGACAGAGGGAGAGACTGAGAAGGGAGAGAGAAGCCATAGCCGAGGAGAGGAAGAGGGAGAGACGATCCAAAAAAAAAAAAAAAGAAGAGAAAGAAGCCAGTCAGGGTGAAGAGGGAAGAGGCGAGGTGAAGAGAAAGAAGGTGAAGCGTGGCGACGAAGGTGAAGCCGGCCGCCATAGCCGGGAAGTTGACCGAGAGAGTTGACCAGGCGTTGACCGGACACTGACCGGGGTTGACCAGGAGTTGACCGGAGGTGTTGACCGGCATTGACCGGAGTTGACCGAGGGTTGACCGAGGGTTGACCGCAGCGCTGACCGGCGTTGACCAAGACCGTTGACCACAAGTTGACCAAGCTGGAGCCGGTATAATCTCGCCAAGCCTTTAGCCTATCCCTCGCCCTATGGATGTGCACACACCCTGTGGTACTTGCTGAGTCCAGTCTGTCTGTCTCTTCTTTCTGCATCGAGTCTCTTCTGTCCAGGTGATAGTACTCTGTGGATGAAGGATAGGCCTTGTTGACGAAACCCCTGCCGGACCAAGTAGGGCTAAAGACTGTGTCTGATGACTCGACTGTCCCTGAGGCCTAACCGTCCCAAGGACCGGTACAGACCGGCGGGCTGCTCGGTGTGGCACGGTAGGCCCGAAAGGCTGAGTTGTGGGCTGCGCAACAGGCAGTCTAAGTGTTGAGAGACCTGCTGAGAGAGAGTTGTCCCCGTCCCCGCCCAGCCTCTGGGAGGCTGTGGCCACCAGTGGAAAAGAAAAATGGGCCCTACCAGACCCCGTTTTCTTTTGAGAATGTGCGACCAATCTTCGCCGCCGATCGGCGCAAATCAACGGTGGAGATCGGTCGCACGTTTCCAAAAGAAATCGCGGTCCGGTAGGCCCCCGTTTTCAAATTTGAAAACGCGGTTGGTGTCGACCGAAGATCTCCAGATCTGTGGCCGAAATCGGCCACATTTTGAAATGTGAATCGCGGCGTGGTTTTGTGTTGCCCAGTGCCAGCGCCCCGTCTCCAGCCCGCCATCGACCTCTTGGTGCAGCTGCTTCGCCCTGCCAGCCCACTTAGCATGCACGTCTACGTCGTGTGTTGCCACCAGGTGACCAGTGCCAGCGGCCCGTCTCCGGCCTGCCATCGAACTCTCTGTGCAGCTGCTTCGCCCTGCCAGCTCGCTTCGTCGCAACAGCCCCCCATAGCCACGAAGGTAAGTCCACCAGCGCTCCTCCTCCTCCTCCTCCTCCTCCTCTTCTTCTTCTTCTTTTTCTTCTCCTCCTCCTCCTCCTCCTACTACTACTACTACTCTTCTGTCGTCTTCTTCTCCTCCTCCTCCCCCTCCTCCTTCCTACTGTTCTTCTTCTTTTTCTCTTCCTCATCCTTGTCCTCGTCCTCATCATCTTTTTCCTTCCTCCCCTTCTTCTTGTTCTCCTCCTCGTCCTCCTCTTCTTCATCTTTTTCCCTCCTCCTCATCCTCTCCTCCTCTTCCTCTTCTTCTTTGTTTCCTCCTCCTCATCCTCATCATGTGTTTCCCTCCTCCTCCTCTTCTTCTTGTTCTTCTCCTCGTCCTCTTCTTCTTCATCTTTTTCCCTCCTCCTATCCTCTTCTTCTTCTTCTTCTCCTCCTCCTCCTCCTCGCCCTCTTCTTTTTCTTTTTCTTCTTCTGTTTCTTCTTCTTCKTCTTCTTCTCCTCCTCCTCCTCCTCCTCTTCTTCTTCTCCTCCTCCTCCTCCTCGCCCTCTTCTTCTTCTTCTCCTCCTCCTCCTCCTCGCCCTCTTCTTTTTCATTTTCCTCTTCTTCTTCTTCTTCTTCTTCTTCTTCTTCTTCTTCTTCTTCTCCTTCTCCTCCTCCTCCTCCTCCTCCTACTCCCCGTCGAGCCCGAGCCATAGCGGTAGCGATTTTTTTTCCTTTTTTTCATCTCGGAATCATTCTTTTTCTTTTTCTTCTTTTCTTCTTCTTCTTCTTCTTCTTTTTCTTCTTCTTCTTCGTCTTCTCCTCCTCCTCCTCATCCTCTTCTTCTTTTTCTTCTCCTCCTCCTCCTCCTCCTACCTCCCCGTTGAGCCCGAGGCATAGCCGTCGCGATTTTTTTTTTCTTTCCATCTTGGATTCTTCTTCTTCTTCTTCTTCTTCTTCTTCTTCTTCTTCTTCTTCTTTCTTCTTCTACTCCTCCTCCTCCTCTTCTTCTTTTTCTTCTCCTCCTCCTCCTCTGCTTCCCTCCCCGTTGAGCCAGAGCCATAGCCATAGCAAGCGCAGTCGGATGCCGCCATAAAACCCTGTTGAGCCAGAGCCATAGCCATAGCAAGCGCAGTTGAGCCAGAGCCATAGCCATAGCAAGCGCAGTCGGATTACCAATCAGCAGGTTGCAGGTTCAATGCCTGGAGGGAGCGATTTGGCGATTTTCAGAACAATTGAATTTTGCGCTTGGAAGGCAATGATAGAAAGAGAGAGTTAATTTTAATTTTAATTTTAAATCTCTTGAAGAGCATCGAGATCGGGTATTGATGACCGATAGGAAAAATGCTTTTTCTATCTAGGTTACAATCGTCCTCTAACTCTAGTGCTTGCCTCCAACGAGGTAAGTTCAGCAACTGACCAAAACATATTGGGCATTTATCCTGACTTCTTGGCACACTAGGTGATTTCTGTCACTTGGGCAGACGCATCTCTAGGCCCTTCTCAAATGAAAGTTGTCATTGTCATTTGTTCGAGTATTATCAACGAAGATTCTATGTAACTCCCATTTATTTCGTTCCGTACTTGAGAGACTTATTGTCATGTTTGTTACGCTCTTACGTAATTCATCTGACTTCATTCCTCTTCTCCCTCTCTCCTCTCTATCTCTTTATCTGTCTATGTATCTCTTTTTCATTATTGTCCTTCTCCTCATCTTGTCTCCCTTCCTTCTTTTCCTAAAATGCTCTTGTCATGTCTCTGTTATAATTTATCTCTTAGTTGTTTGATTTTCTCATCTTTTGACTATATGTCATCCTTTTGTTTACTGCGGTCTCATGTGCTGCTTTTCGCTATCTGCTTGCTCGTTGCCGTTGAGAGGATGAAGAAGAGATGGAGCCTCCCCTCTGGTGCTAGTGGTGTCTGTTCTAACCAGCACCACTAACACTGAAAGGGGCGGAAAAAAAAAAGAGAGGATGAAGAAGAATGGTTCGGGAATGGACCTTGGCGATGACAGTTCTGAATTTCCCCTTTCCTCTTTATTTTTTGTGTCTCTTGCTCGACTAAATTTGCTTTAGTGATGTTTTGTGAGTTACTTGTTGCTATGTAATGAGACATTCACTTGTATTCTTGTAATAACCATCATCAAATTTATATTACTAATAACAAGCAGATGTTCGCAGCGGCTGCGCCTGCAGCACACACATGCTCCCCCTCCTCGCGTGCC